TTCATTAAAGGCCTTGCCACATACATCACATTTATGTGGTTTCTCTTCAGTATGAATTCTCCAATGAATTGCAAGTTCTGTAGTTTGATTAAAAGCCTTGCCACACACGTTGCATTTATATGGTTTTCCTCCGGTATGGATTCTTTGATGTCTAGTGAGTTCTGAGTCCTCAAGAAAGGTTATGTCACACTCAGTACATTTGTAACGTCTTTTCTTTTGTGTTTCATGGTCCGGTAACAGTTCTGAAAGATGCATGACAGCATTCTCAGGTTTATGAGAAAACCCTTCGCACACATTACGAGTTCTCTGAGGTGATAAACCTGAGGCGCTAACATTTGTCACAACTTGACTACATTCAAAAATTATCCCTTCAGATTGTACCATCTGCAATTCATCCTGAAAGCTTGCTCTGTGCCTTTCAAAAGCTCTATTTCCTACATCACTGCTACTAGGATGATCTCTTCCATCAGTGAGGTTTTTGTTATGGGATATAGACATTCCTTTGTCATTTCTTTCATCATCTGTCCACAGACAATCAAAGTCATGTATATTTTCCTGGATCTTCCTGAGGTGAAAATCTTTGATGTCAAGGCTTTCAGCTCTTCCAAACATCACTCTTTGAAAAATTTCCCCTTTACCACTGTTTCCTTTTGCCTGTAATTTCTTGATCTGATCTATATGAGACATATCTACAAGACATAAAGAACCACAGGTATTCTGTTAGTGACAATTCATAAATAATTTCTTGTTGAGTACATGATGTTATACCAAAAGTCATATCCATCCTGAACAGAATTACAAATCTTTGCAATGATAATCTTAAAACTATAGAACACTAAAAAAGAGTGATCATATGTAATTCAAATTAATTTTAGGGTAGTGTAGGTTCAAACACATTCAGAAAACATTCATTTTATGCAAATTCATGTCAGTTTGCAAAGAAAACGTATTTTCCCACCATGACCTCAAAGCTCATCCTACTTTGTACTAAGTGCACTGCTCTCTCATAAATGAGGAGAAACTAATGGTATACTGTACACACTTTATGCATACTTATACATATTTAAATGGTAAAGAAAATACAGCACTAGAGAGGTGACTCAGTGGTAAAGAAACTGCCTGCCAATGCAGAAGACACAGCATAGGGGCATACAATCCCTGGGTCGGAAAGATCCCCTGGAGCAGGAAATCACAACCCAGTGCACTATTCTTGCCTGAAAAAACTTCCATGGATAGGAAAGTTTGGTGGGCTACAGTCCATGAGATCACAAAGAGTCAGACAGGACTGAGCAACTGAGCAAACAAGCATCCATCAGGCAATACATTGGAATGGTAAACAATGCGAAAAAAGCATTCTAATGAATAATGTAAAAAAATAAATGGCAGTTAATAACTGTTCAACAAATACTGCATTGAGAAAATAGAGAATTCTGTAAACTATATATATATATGTATTTTTATTGCTGGACCACGTGGCATATGAGATGTTGGTTCTCTGACCATGGATTAAATCCAGGCTTGCTGCAGTGAAACTAACTCAATACTATCCACTGGACTATCAAGGAATTCCCTAAAATAATTTACAAAATAAAACAATAAACACTTTTTAAAATATCTCTTAGACTTCTATCAGTAGATAGACATATAAGCATTTTATGATATTAACAAGTGGTTCATGTCAGTTATATTGTGTAATACAAAAAGACCGTCATTTTTATTTTATTTTTTTTTTAGAATTTAACTTTATTTATTTATTTTTTCCATTTATTTTTATTAGTTGGAGGCTAATTACTTTACAACGTTGCAGTGGTTTTTGTCATACATTGAAATGAATTAGCCATGGATTTACAAGTATTCCCCATCCCAGTCCCCCCTCCCACCTCCCTCTCCACCCGATCCCTCTGGGTCTTCCCAGTGCACCAGGCCCGAGCACTTGTCTCATGCACCCAACCT